CAACAAGTGTCTTATCATTTATTGAATTAGCAATTAAAATGAAGGAAACTTTGTGATGTTAATTTTTTCAACAACATTAAATTACAATTTGCTTATAGATGACCAACTATTCCTATGTCTTAGAATGGTATATTTTCATCTATAGTTTTATTCATAATTAATCTTACTTTGAAACATTGATACCATAATCAGTGAAGAGCGGCAACCGTCGAGATGAGACACACAAATTTTGATATCTATACTACTCGGTAGCCACACTGTTATACTTCGTTTACTTTCTCTAGCGATGTTCCTTCCAATGTCTTGGATGCGCGCTAGCAAAATCGTAGGTAGAGAGAAAAAAGCTCATTATACTTTCGGCTCTTGTTCATTAAACATACTTTTTCATACAGTACTTGCCAAAAGTTTTCTTCAATCATGAATAGCAGTGCGAGTCGGAAAGAAGCGTTAAAGCCTTTAATTTGTTTTCAAATATAAATAAACAGCTCGTAAATAATTTTAGTAGTAAATGGTACCAATAACAGCACATTTGAGCAATGCAATTGTAGTGGATAAAATGGTCAATTTTTCCGTGCAGTACTGTACGGATTATACGCTCCTCGCCGGTTAAGACTTTGGCCGAGAGTGGTCTCTTTTCTTTTCTGGCTTAGTGCTGTCCTTTTCTAGTTTGCGCCGGTCAAACTAAAGGTCACATCGCTAGAGAAACTAAAGAAGTATAACTTCATGCTACCGAATTTTTGTCAACTGTGCAAGCGCAAATTCTGTTGGTCATAAAATTTTACATTATTACTTCTACAAATTTATAACAGTCCAGCCGGCTAAGTACGCCGTATGCATAACATTTACTATCATTTAGTATCTATATTATTATCAAGTACATGACTACGCCCTTATAAAAGAATACGACGGGAGCTACTCTGAGCATGAACAAAAAATTGAATTCCAAAGTAAATAGTGATTATTTAATTTTATCGTAAGCTTTAAATTAGAAAAAAAGCTTTAAGAGCGTTGCTCGTCGTAAATTCCTTAAACATAAGTAATGAGAATGCACCAAGCACCGTTTTCGCCCTGCCTTCGTAGTCGTCGTTGTTATTGTCGCCGTCGGCGTCGGTCGGAAATAAACTTTAAAGGGCAATAAATTCGGGTTTCGGAAAATTTCAACGTACACGAGAAGGTTTCGCCAACATGGACATTGTCTCGGAACGTTGGTGCCTTTCCAAATTGTCCTGCGGATGCTGTTAAAGATTTACGGATTTTCACTTTTTTTACGAACTTCATTTCCCGAAACAACTTCCAAGGTACTGCTAGGTAACCTTAAACCTACTAAAAACAGAACATTGTTGCTAAACGAAACGATTTGTCTTTACTCCTAGAAGGTGAATATGCGCACTCGTCGTACGACGCAGCTGACATGAACAAAGACAGATCAAAGATCACTAGTTCCTTTAATCCTTAGCATTACATTGGCGGTGAAGAAAACTGCATTTCTAGCGTCTTCAATGTCACAAAATACAAAACAGCTGAGCAAGTGTTTTACTTTGCTCACCAGCTTGATAAATTGTACTGTCGCAAAATTAATTCCGTTGCTGTTTTAATGGACCTAATATGTTTTCACGATGAAAAAATTGAAGTAAAAAATAATAAACAGCCAATGGGTCAGTTACCTGCACTTAGAAAATAAGCAATTCTGTAGTTACCCTCATCTATTCGCGAAGTTTATTCTATCTGTTTGTCTCTATATTTTACTAATTAATCCAAAACGTGTCGTAGTTTTTATTTTCTTTTCTATCAAAAAAATATAACGATTTTGATTAGGTGTTACTTGTTATAAAACTCGAAAATCCCTACAGGAATATAGATGGTTGTAACAGCTATGTTTTGACTTCATAGTCACCATGATAAAGTGCGCACTGTCAAAATAGTTTTAGGCTACAATGAAAGAATCATTTTACGTGTTTTGGTGGGTTTTATTACTAACCTATTAAATCAAACAGAATCAGGGTGACTGCATTTAGTCACAAAATAAGGATGTATTAGTTCGTGTTAATAATGCCGGAAATAGAAAGCTCAGTATGGATTAACAGAGGAGTGCATTAGTATTTCATTAAAATTGCGAAATAACGAAAATTCCATTTGATCGTTGCTGTTTTATTTCCTTTTGAAGGAATTATTCAAGGAAGTGTCCCTCATATTTCTAGCTTTCAGATGGATCCTTATAGTCTATTTAATTATTCGTTAATTAAACGATCGTATTCCTACATATTTGTACCTACTGAATATAGGTATCGATTATAGTGTGCCTAATTATAAACTCAATTTTTCTTTCATATCGATCTGAACATCAATCATCATAGGACCTAATATTTTGTTATTTTTTCATAGTTCTTTAACTACCAAAATTATGGAACAAATCCAAAGGTTAAGTAAAAACATTGAACAGTACCTAATGTAAACATAATGCCATCGCATAACTTGAGAGTTGGAGGGTCTCATTCTTTTACGTTTATTTGGTACCTTGCCAAGAATGGAATTTTGAATTCTTAAAGAAGCATCAAGGTTTCAGTCAGAAAGGGGAAACCGAAACCACACGTTGCGTTTATTTTCAATCTCGGAAAGATAATGGATGCTAGTTGACCTAAATATTTAGAATAAATTGGCTTCAAAAGAACTGAGATTAATAAATATATGTAGTAAGGACAGAAAACTTATCATTAATATCTTTTCATTTTGAATCGTAATACTGTTTGATTTCGATGAAACACAAGAAAGGCTGCACTTACTATACTTTATTTGTTAAAAGAATACTCTGTGTATAAACCAGATTTGATTTGAAGTGAATCTACTGGCAACTTATTCAGTAAAAGGATTGTATTAAATTAAATCACATTCGTAATTAATTGTACTATTTACTTAATTAATAATCCCGTACATTACCGTAAATACGAATGTTCTAGTTTATACCAAAGACAGCAATGGTCATACCGACTCTTTTAATGCCATATGTAATTAAAAAAATATATGTAAGTAATATGTATGTATAAAGTCATTATTCTGTAATAATGTAATAACAGTGGGCTCAGTAAATGTAAGGTTCAGCACTTCAAACATAGAAGTAGAGATGTTTCGCTAAAGAATTAAATGCCTCATTCACATGTCAATCCGAAGCTTTCTAATTCGAATTGTATTCCTGCTTATTCTTATGGAACATCAAAAGAAACGGAAACAGTTGGTGGTGTTGTAAAATACACTAGATATAATATAGTTTTTCCAGTCCCAGAAGAAGGTAACTTTGTTACAGAAACGTACTTCGAATATTTAGTGTCGCGTTTTTTTGAAGCTGGAGTTAAATTATTTATAGTATAAGTACCGTGGGTTCACAATTCAAAAGTGATTATATTCTTGGAAATTGGCAATTATACTTACGCGATATAGCATGGCATTGTACAATATAATAAAAAGTTCTGAGTTAAACGTTCTAAACAATGGCGAAAACCTTCAACTAAAAGGCCGAAACGATTGCGAAGTTTATCACGAATTCGGAATCCTTTAATTTAGCTGCAATTTTATCCAGCTTTTAATCTACTTTATCGTAATTAATTTTTGACGAGCGGCTTTATAAATCAAACGGATTGGTTAGTTTGTTCTGTTCTTACGCACTTACATTATATTACCTCGGTTATTTTTGGACCTTTTATAAACAGAAAAAACAAAAAGTCGGTGCGAGCGACTGATCCAGTTAAGCCTGCTATGCAGATGTGGCTCACGTTCGTATGAAATGCTTCCGTACAACTTTTCCTCTAGAAGTTCTTTTAAGAATACGGAAAATAAAATACTAAAACATTTTATTGTAAAAAATGACACTGGGCAACTTTTTATTGGTGAAATAGTCAATAATATCGTCATAGTTTACGGTGTTCATTATCTCTGCCTTTATCAATAAATGAGCCAAAGAGATTATCAAAACCTCTGATAATTCTTCACTTTTATACAAGGAAAACTCCATTCTCCAAAGTAGTTTGTGATTGGAGCATAAAGCGCGATACGGAAAGATAGATCAAAGTACGGATACATAAAAGTAGCACAATGATTGGTTCCGCAAAAATATAGAAAGATTAAGTAATGGTAATGATGTAGGGTCCGGCTTCTCTATAGTCTTGTTAGTGGAAATCTGCACCAAATCTACCTCTAAATCAGTAGCAATAAAAAGTCCTTAAAAAATTAAGTTTTCAGTTCATAACAGGCAATTTACGAAACCGTTGAACGAATTCTCATACAGTTTTCACCGTTAGATAGTGCATTTTTTTGAAGAGTGTATGAAATGAGAAACTAGAATGGTAGAAAAACGAAAAAAATGTACATACTATTTATATCATATTGTTAGTAAAACAAAAACATTAGTTTCCTTAGAAATTCATAGTTTTTTGTTAACATCAAATAATAGAAAAAAAAAATAAATAACTACAGGGTAACCCAATTCCTGGAAACCGAGAAATCGGGAAATTTCAGTAGCAGGGGAAAATTAGAAAAGCATCAGAAACTTTTCTATTCATTATCTCTTTGTTTATCTCAGTATCAGTAATTCTGATGAGAACAAAAAGAAATGCGACGTTCATTTCCTCCTCCCCTAAATTAACGTGAAATTCGAGGAAAGTTAAGAAAAATTTCATGTAATAAGAAAACAGGTAAATTTTGTAGTAAATTCATGGAATGCTGAAGGCTAAGACAATACAGAAGTAAAGCTTTAATAATGTTACGGTTTAAAAACTACGATTTTCGAAAAGTGGAATTTTCCGCGGTGGAAAAGCGGCGCCTGGCCAGTCAGCGCCAGTCGGGAAATTTTTCCAGTCAACGTTTCTTCCGGGTGGTGGTAAGCCGGTCTCTTATATAATTAGTCGGGATCTCAGGGTTCGGGCAGGACGCAAGCGCACGGGCGTCCCGCGTCGTGACCCTTCGCCCTGCCCGCGACCCCGACGGCGCTTGCGCGCGTCCATGTGCATTTTCGCGACGCCGGCTTACTGACCGCAGTCCCTCGCTACCGCCAGACCGCTTCGCTTGTTCGCGACGCTTCTCAAACCAGTCAGTGTCTTGTATCGAGGCGTGTTTATTACAACTAAATACCTACTACTTACTCTCTCTTATCTACTACTACTATCAAATACCAGCGTCGATTACTAACAACCAAACGACGACGACGACTACTCTGCTACGTCTCGAGGTGATAATCATCATGTTTGTTATTTTATGTTATTTGTTAACTTTCATCGTCAAATAATCTCATATGTTCGTTCACAATTCATATAAACGCATAATGTTTTGTATTTGTTTTACTGTAGTTTGTTCGCGCGTTCAGACGGACGCCGTGTGATCTAATTGGTCACGATCCAGTCAGGTATTCCTAGTTACCTATACATGCCTACCGTGTTTTTATGTGCGAGCAATCAAAATACGAACCACGGTAGTTGCCGCGGTTAAAATGTTGCGATAGCCTTTGAATAACTTTTTACGGTATTCATGAAATTTTTATGTTTCGAAGTTTAATCTTTGTGTTTATACAAGTGATTTTTATTAGCTTCGAGTTATTTTTTTGATGCAGTATTCGTATCCAAACAAAAAAATGTAGAAATGCAGCCGAATAGGTACGCTACAAATAGAAATTGATTAGCGTAATGGGGTTCGTTTAGTTTGAACTTTTTATTGCGATTATTTTTAATTGTGTAATATGGCAATTACGTTTATCAAAACGTATTCGTTTATTGACCACAATAAAAGCAGAAAATTTTTATCATTCGCGATAAAAATATTATTTTGAATTGTATGTGGAAAAAATGAATACATACAGAAACTTGTTGCTTTTTAGGAATCATTAAATAATCACCTTACTTTTGTAACCTACGTAAAACTTAAAAGATTTCAATTATTCTCAGATAAGTAAAGCACCGAATCCCTTTACTCGTTTACAGTGTACTTACCTGAAATTGTTTTGTTCGTTCGGAAAAAGAACTGTTACCCATTAAATGATCATAGAGCCATTACAAATTTTGAACAAAAAAGCAACAGATAAAAATGAAATAGATTACACCTACCTGCAGTGTAATCCGTAAAGATAAAAAAAAGCTGATATTGATCCCATAAGCATAACACATTTTGCTATTTCTGCAGTAATCAATTTTACTGAGAAAACGATGTTAGTTTTTCAGGAACATGTAGTAAATATCTTGTATTCATGTGGGTGCATTAATTAATAATTAACGCTAAATTATGTAACATCGAAAATTAAGTAATAGGTGTATTTAGAAAGTGTTTACTTAACGATAATTGCGTCTAATTGGGTATACTTAATTAGTTCAAATGATACTTGTTCCAGAGCATACGGGTAGAGATGTATAAAATCAGCTTGGAAATCCTTTAAGTCTAAGGAATCAATTCAATATAAAATTTTAAATCCTCATAATGCGGTGTTCGTGTGAGCTTATAGCTTGGATAGCTTTTTTTTAATGCTGCATATTTTCTAGCACAACTTAAGTACTGTCTAAAATTGTGTTTGCTTGGATTCATTTACGTAACCGATATAAAAAGGATTCAATTTTATTATTAAGTAATTGTCGAGTTAAATTAGTTAGATATATGTAACAAAAATTTTGACTTACAAATCAAAATTTTCTAGTTACATCCATAGTAAAAATAGTCTGAAATATAATTTCATAATAAATATAGGTATATCATTCTTACCATCATCTTTAGTTGTTGTTTGTAAGTGCCAAATGAGTTAAATTGAATTTTTATGTTTATTTTGTTCTAATCTAAAAATTGATGTTTGACATACTTTTTCTTTAACGAATTAAAGTTAAAAATAAATATATATTACAAATTAGGTCTCATATGCTACAATATACAGGATTTCGTGTGTCTTTATACAGTTATTTGCAATTTTTTGGTCCAAAACCTGTAAGCTTTATTTAAATTACTGCTAAACGCCATATGATGCACGTTTAACATTTTTTTTTTGATAAAGAATTAAACTTAGAACTAATTAGTTTTATAACTTACGTACATATGTGTCCTGTATGACAAGAAGGTATTCCTATATGGGGATGTAGGGGAGATAGATTGATGAGTCTGGAGTGCAGTCAACAGTTTTGGGTGGTCAAAAAGGCACATATCCAATAAATAATAAATTCGTCTGATTGCTTAGGGTCATAAAGTTATAACAAGAAAAGAAAGTCGTGTTCATGTCCTTCCCTTTGTTTTCAGGTATATTGAATTAGATGTGAATTTTTTATGGTGAGGCAGGTTTCTCTGATGGACTTGTATGAAGTGCTGTGAAATATGAGCTTACGATATACAAAATACTCTAAAATATCTTGTCGATACTTATATAGAGTTCAATATATATAGTTATTTTGAAATGGTTTACTTCAGTTAAAGTCCAAAATATATAAACTCCATTATAAAACCTTCAAAATTATTGCTAGAGTGCTACATTGTGTATATACAATCTCCAGTTCGTACCTTCATGTTGTATAAAAATCGAGATTAACTTAGGTACTGCACTAATAGAGCATTTTCTTGTGTCCTGGGTAACTCATTAAAAAGCTCCGTAAACAGTTAAACTGAACTTTATAGCAGAAATTTTAATTTTGATATTTCATAAGGTGTCATTGATAGTTCAGTATGCGGGGATGAAAAGGTGTTAAAGTAGCATGCCTATGTATATGGAGAATAAACATTTTTAAACTTCCTTTGTATGTCCTTTCTGTGGCTTAAAAGCAAAGCAGGCTGTTCCCGGTCGTCTGGCGCTTTCGTTATAGAACTAAACGAGTTTGCTACGATCCAGTTTTATGTGTACATGGCGTCAACTTTAACACGACTTTTCTAATTTTCTTACTCATTTTCACTTTTAGTGGCTAATTCACATAATGAAGTAGTCGTTTGTGACTCATTTATTCGCACATGCTGTATGCTGGCGGTGTTAATAATGCGCCTTGCCCTGACGTAACGATGTTAAAACCCACTTCAGTTCAGATATATGGTTTGTCCTTCTAAACTATTTTCAGTTTATCATCTAATGTGTACAGGCTAAAGGCAGAGCAATGATGTAACTTGTGATTCATTAATTATACTATTCGAATTGCCACTTGGTTCCAAACACATACTTTAGCAGAAGCTTTTTCGTTTATTATGATCTTCCATGTGAGTATGTGGATTGTGGCTTGCCTACCATCAACAAAGCGTTAACATGGTTACAATCAAAATTGATTGAGCTTGATTTACGTTTTATCCTCAGCTCTGCCATGTGGTTATTATGATTTAGAAGAATACAAATCGGATAACACTTCACAATTATTATATTGACTGAATTACAATTCGAATTGCTTCATATGTGCGAGTAGTATTTTGATTGATACACAAACCTGCTTCAGAAATTCTTGCAAAAACAGATGGTAGAGCATTTCGAAACGACAAGAACAGTTCTACTAGATGAAATAGCGTTATCAGTCAAATGGATAGACATAGACCAAGAAAAATGCACATTTGCATTCGTAAACTAAATTAAAGTTGATTTACTGTATTTTCCCGATGTTAATTTTTTTTTTAAAGTTTAAATATCTGAGCTTTAAATGGTGATTCAATCGAAATTTCAACGAAAAACGTGAAATTAAAGAGAATTGGGACTGTTTTTAGGTTAACATTTGAAAATAAACTAATTATACAGCCTGTTTTGGAATTTGTCTATGACCTGTCTTATGCCTCTTAGCTCGTGTACGCATTTTGTAAACCAGTGTATGTGCCTCGTATTTTTTACCAATTCAGCATGAAACGCACAAATAAAAAAAAAGAAAATTTTTGTATTCTAGCAGCTAGATGTTTTTCGTCGACATAAAATGATTTAGTTTTACCCTGCTCAAACAAAAACAATTTGACTTCTATCTTATAAAACTAGACAGATCAACACTTATTCACGTGGCAGGTGACTCTAGTCAAAACAAAGTTGTAGTTCATTCCGTTTGTTATGTTTGCATTTCGTGAAGCTCTTCAAAACAGCGTTTGCAATAACAATTTTGCTTACGTTAGATACAGAGTTCTAGTTTTATGTGCCTAAGTGTGTCCTAATACCAAAAATTATTTGGATAAAAAGGTCCTAGACCTTTTTTCTGTCTCTTTTCCGTTTTATTTGTTACAGTTTTTCCTTTTTGCTGAATGTAGTCGGCTAGAAAACAGCAAGTAGCGAAAATGCAATTTTGCACGAATAATCACGAGCTTGTAAATCATGCGGCCATTTTCCCCATTTCGCAACAACAAAACTGCGGCAATATACCGCCAGTCGTTTCGCTTAGAAAGCGTCAACGTTACCGTGAACCGGTTAATTAAATAAGTTTCGCAAAACATTGGCTTTTTTAATTCGGATCCGGCCGGCTCTCGTGCTATAAGTAATGGATCCGAGCGCGCTATCTAACGGTGACAAATTACTCCTGATTTCCCGTGATGTCACTCAACTTAAAACTCACGATGGAATTGTTTTGTTCTAATTGATAGCAAGTTTTTTGATCCCCTGCTCACCTGATCATCCTATTTTATTCTTCATTATTATCGTCTTTTTGTATATATCCTCACAATAAATTTTGGGACGGTTGAGTTTCCTATTGAACAAATTATCATACCAATGAGAACGAAAGAAACAAATTAAATTAGAACCACAAAAAATATGCACCCAAAATCCTGTACCTACGTCAACAATGCTGTTATGTTGAACTCATCATCATCATACGGTTATCAGTCCTTAGACTGGTTGGACACGCACCTCCATTCTTTCTTTTTCTCAGCTAATCTTCGCATTTCCCTAAAACTAGAACAATCCACATTCTTAACTATTTGTGAACAGTAATCTAATCTACGCCTACCTATGCCCCTTCTAACTCCCGTTTCGGTTTCTAATATGTTTCTGATTAGACCTTCATACCTGAGAAGGTGTCCTTTCAACCTATCTCGCCTATTTCTTATTGACTTCCATAGAGTCCTCTATTCTTTCTAATACCTCATCATTTCTAACCTTCTCTATCTACGATATTGCGAGCATAGAAGTGACTTTTTTTTATTGAAGGCGACTCGACCCTGCGCTTTCCTCTGCTTTGTATCCCTACTACTCCTTCCGTCCTGACTTATCTGACTTCCTAGATACCTAAACTCGGTCACTTCTAATTTTTCGTCTCCTACTTT